GTTCTCAAAAAGCCATATACTTTATCCTTATACCTATAAGTTTTGCCATCTAATTCACCATCTCAAAGATTTTTTTGGGAAATATTGTCTAGTAAATTCAAAAGATTTGAAAACCTATTCATAATGTGTATTTTCTATAGTCATACTGAAACAGACATACATAACAAATAATAAAACTAAATACTTCTTTAATGAGAATCTCAGTATGTGCATATATTAATACTGGACACTTTTAAACATTAATTTGACCACCTTAGAATTCAAAATTAGCAATTGCTCAAATTAGCTGGATAGTGATTATTCACTGCTTGCTATTGTAAATAAAACACCTTAATTACAATAAAGCACATAAGACACAATAAGACACACAACTTTGGTTTCACTCATAGTCTCCTGTGTTATAATACCAGTGTTATAGGCGGAAGTCACTAATTGGTGAAAGCAAGGCATAAAGCATAAGCAGACATAAAAAAAAGTCACCTTCCAAATTTGAGAAGCTTAATACGTTACATTTAATATCCTGATACTTCTAGGAAAGTGACTGAGTGAAGTAGCTTCAAAATATTAAAGAATATTTAAAATAGAAAATGAATATTCTTTCTATAAATAACTGACTATTCAGCAATACAAACAATGATGACTTACTGAATTGTGGCCTCTTCACACCTACATTCTGGGTATAAAACTCTTTCCAGCTATACTTAAGTCCTTGTTTGCTGTAAAATTTGATGTGGATTCTGGAACAAAAGCCCTTTCACTATAGTAATTTTTAAGGTGGAACTGAAACTATAATAATTCAGCCATTGATGTAGCCTCTTTAGTAATTTAAGATATCAGACACATCTTCAGTAACAAATGTTAATGTTTAGGTAAATTTTGGCTGGGCTTTTTTTTTTTTTTTTTTTAAGATATGGGGTCTTGCTATGTTGCTCAGGCTAGTCTTGAACTCCTGGCCTGAAGTGATCTTCCCACCTCATCCTCACAAAGTAGTGGGAATATAGATGTGAGCCACCATGGCTGGCAGTTTGGATTTCTTGAGAGATAATTCCTAACATCTGTTAATCTCTAAGTTTTGTTTTGGTTTGTTTTCTCAGAATTCCAGTTTCCAGGTCAAAGGGAGCAACTCTAATGTCTATTTGTGTTCTGATGCTAGCTCTTTAGAATAATATTAATCTCTCTGCCACAGATTCATGTATTTTTTAACGTACTTTAAAAATGAAGAACAAAAAGGATATAATGCCCCATTAGGAAACATCAAATTCTGATCATTTTGTTAATGTTATCATGAATATATGTTCTATAAAGTTGCTCACTTTTATAACTAGGAAGTCAGTGTCATGGGTTAATGATCCACGTAGCTTCTAATGTACAACTGTCATGAATCCATTATCAGAAAAGGCTAATGGAACACCCTAGCAGATAGATCAGAAATCTTGAAGGAGTAAATTAATCCTTATCCTTCACTGCTATATACAGTCTTACAGGTCAAAAGAACATTTACTCACACATATTATCATATCTGATTCTTAAAATCATTCTCTAAAGTCAGGTTGACATACATTATTATTTCTATTTCTTTGTAGGGCCTGGCAGGGAAGTCTGGTGTCTTGGGTATCATTGACCAAAAAGGGCTTGCGTATCATTGACGGAAAGGGGTGTCTTCTTTTTGGGAAGGTCATTGACAGTGCACGTACAGGAGGGACACCTTGGAAGTAGAAAAGGAGGAAGACAATCTACACTTATCCGGTCAAAACAACTTTGAGTGATGTTCCAGTTTTGAAATGAGGGATAAGCGTTTCAAGCAAATAGCAGTTCCATGACAGAGAAGGAAGGCAAACTTGCTCCAACAACGCTGCCTTGCTCCCTGTTCTCTGAACGCCCCTGTACTAAGTGGCTTTATGTCATCTTCACAGCAGACAAAATGTCGTTGCGACCTGTTCCTTTTATGCCTCATCCCTGCATGTTCTCATGCGTCAGAATATATGACTCTACCCTCAGCTCCAGGGTGTCCCATGTGTTGGTCTAAGGGTAAACCTATTATCCCATTAGGTGACTTCTTCAGGAATTGGCTTGAAACCCGACTCCCACCAGGCAGCAGTTTAATTAAATCCAGATCTAAGACAGTGCCATAATTTCTTTTTGACATTGTCACAACAACACAATAAGAAAAACAATAACAACAACTAATGTATTTGTAGTACTTACAATGTGTCAGACACAGTTTTTAGCACTATATGTATCTCAGCTTACTCCTCACAACACTCCATGGGGTAGATAATATTATTATGCTGACCTTGCAGATGAGGAAACTGAGGTACTGAGATATGAACCCTGGAACTGATGCAGTCTCTATTTCCAGTCCTACACCAACACTGAAAGGTTGTCATTCTCAGTTACATTTGAATATTTAGGCTCAGCAAGTTTAAATGGCTTGCTTTAATTGATAGCCCACAAGGAGCAGAGGAGCTAAACTGATATGGTAAAACAGAGACATGTAAAGAACCCAAGTTCTTAACGACGTTATCACATTGACACTGGCTCTACTTCTGGACTTTGTGATGTGCACTTGATATGGTTTGGATTTGTGTCATCGCCCAAATCTCATGTCAAACTGTAATCTCCAAAGTTGGAAGAGAGGCTTTGTGGGAGGTTACTGGATCGGGGAGAGGACTTCCTTCATGCATTCTCGTGATAGTGAGTTCTCATGATATTTGGTTGCTTAAATGTGTAGCGTCTCCTGCTTCTCTCTCTCTCCTGCTGCTGTGTGATGATGTATCTACTTCCACGTCACTTTTCACTATGATTGAAAGTCTCCTGAGGCCTCCCCAGCCATGCAACCTGTACTGCCTGCAGAACCTCTTTTCTTTAAAAAATTACACAGTCTCAGGTCTTTATGCCAGGGCAAGAATGGACTAAACAAACAGCACTGTTAATGGCCTTAATGTTGGAGGTATTTGTGTCAAGAGTTTATGATACTTGTAGCATAAAGTTTTGCAAGTGATCCAAGCATCATATTTTAGCACAAGCTATGAATGAAGCTGCTGGTGTTTGAATTTTGGCCTTGTGAATTTTGGATCTTCTTCTTCATTTGTAAAACAAGAATAATAACACCTATTTCATACTTATAGTGAGGATCAAAGAGTATAATATACATGAAACAGAACAGTGCCCTAAAAATGCTTGTATTCATTAAATATTAACTATTGTTGACATGATTACTTTATTCTTTTATTTTTTATATTAGGCCTTGGTATTTTTCTAATCTATAAAATGTGAGGAACAATAATGTATAGGGCTATATTGAGGATTAAATGGAACAACCCATATAAAGTGTTTAGCAGATTTCCTGGCATTTAGAAAGTACTCAATAGATATTAGCTACTTTATTTCCAATTAAGTTTTAATTTTAATAAGTAATATACATGTGATATAAAAGGTCAAATACTAAAGATTTATAGCTAAGAAAAGCAGTCTCCTCTATTTTTTATTTTTATTTTTTTATTTCAATAAAGTCCCCTCTATTTTTGAGTTAGGTACCCTAGCATGTTATTTTAATTTTAAAAAATATCATATACAGTAAATATAATGCTTTCATCCTTTATTTAAAGATTTACACTTCAAAAAACTTATCTGAATATAAACCTTATACTTTAAAAAATAAATCAGAGCCAATTACGATCTGTGAAACTGCTACAGAAAAAATGTCATACTCTTGTACAAGAAATTGGTTTATTTCTGAAATAAAAAATGGAGATGTATGGCAAATTATATTGCCTGCTGATCCATAAACTTGTATTGATTAAATATCCAAGCACAAAAATTAAATCTCTAATGTTACCCTTAAGGAAATATTATATTATCTGGATAAATTGAGTCTGATTGATCACAATCTAGTGGTTTTATATAATTCTGGTTGAAAAAAATATTAATAAAAGCAACTTGTTTCTAACCAAATTCCAAATACATTACAATTAGCTTTATAGCTTCCTCAGAAACCTAACAAAGTTTATACAGAAGCAATAAACTGAAACTCCATTTGTGTTATTAAATTTAGTAATGAATGTGAGAGTCTATATATAAAAGTTGTATTTAGTGGCACATATAAACCATAGAAATGTTTACTTCAATCTGTTCTTCATTTGAGAAATAACAAGTCTCAGTATATAAAAATTTATTGAGGGGACACTTCTACTAATTGAGTGATGTCCAATTTATAATAGACATGCTGTATAACAAAAGGCAAACATTAATCTTGGTGTTTATGAGTGACATTGTCGTTGTTCAATAAGTGTTTGTTGGATAGATAAGAACACAGGGCTATATAAAATGCTCACTCAAATTATTGTTAACTTTCCAATGTAGATTTTTTAAACTGATGGAGTTATCTATACATTGCGTTATTGGAGGAGGAAAGAGACATTTACTTTTATTAATTTGTTAAAGGCATAAATCTGTAGTATGTGCAAATGATGTGGTTCTATGTTTTGGATGCGTTTAAAATATTCATTTATTCAATCCTACAAATACCAGGCTAGTGTTTACTATGTGCAAGCTTTTGTCATATACTATGAGAGTCAGAAATAAAAACCAAGAAGCTGACAGTGGATCCTGAGTGTGTGTGCACCCTAGAGGGATCCCTGCACCTCCCAGGATCTCCCTGCTCCTTACTCAAACCTCAGCTGCAAGCAATCCCAAAAGGACCCACAGATCCTCTGAAGGAAGCGGACTGCTCCTGTAGGACCTGGGAGAAACCCAAATACTGTGAGTGCCCCCACTGTGGAAGCAGTCTATGGAACACACACCCCCACTGGAGAAGCTGAAGTTCTATTTGTGGGAGAAGTTTCTGACTTTACCTGGAACTGAGTCAATTTAGAAAGGCCAGCAAAACACAGTGGTAGAGGAAGCAGCAGAAATGCTGGGAACTTGCTGGGTCCCTTAGCAGGCAATTTCTGCCTGGTACCACAGGGATCCATCTGGAGGGTGGCCAGAGGAGCAAGGAGAGTAAGTCCACAAGGAAATGGAAATATCTAGATGAACTTTTTAACAATTTGAATGTGGTGAGAAACCTCCTGGTCAGAACTTGGGGGAGAGTGCAAATCCAGTGTGCAGACTCCATGGGTGAGGGAAGAACCAAGCCCCTTTCTTTTGTAGCTGGGAGGCAGGTAGCCTGGGGCAAGTTTTCAAGCCCTCTGCTTGAAAACACACTCAGGGTCGTTGGCAGGGGGGTGCACAGTGGGAGTGAGACCAGCTCTTCAGTTTGTGTGGGGGCTGGGTGAGGCCTGTGACTGTCGGCCTTCCCCCATTTCCCTGATAACCTGCATGACTCAGCAGAGGCAACCATAATCCTCCTAGGTACACACGTCCAGTGACCTGAGAATCTCACCCTCATCCTCCACAGCAGCCATGGCATGACCTGTCCAAGGACTTTCTGAGCTTGGACACGCCTTGCCCTGTCCCCCACTTGATGGTCCTTCCCTACTACCCTGGTAGCAAAAGACAAAGGGCATACAATCTTGGGAGTTCTAGAGTCCTGCCCACTGCCAGTTCCTACCCATACTATCACAGCTGGTGCTCTCTGGAAAGTGCCACCTCCTGGCAAAAGACCAACTAGCACAAAAACAGAGCATCAAACCACCAAAACTAAGAATCCTCAGAGAGTCCATTGTACTTCCCACCACCTCAACCAGAATAGGCACTGGTATCCATGGCTGAGAGACTCATAGATGGTTCACAACACAGGACTTTGTGCAGACAAAAAACCCTAGTATCAGTACCGAGCTGGGTAGACTCACTTGTTAGCTAGACCCAGAAGAGAGACAACAATCACTGCAATGCAGCTCATAGGAAGACACATCCATAGGAAAAGGGGAAGAGTACTTCACCAAGGGAACACCTAGAGACCTGACATCCAAGTACAAGAAGCACAAAGAACACCTGGGAAATGAATTACAAAAAGATCTTCACCTAGCACATTGTCATCAGGTTATTCAAAGTTGAGATAAAGGAAAGAATCTTAAGAGCTGTGAGACACAAGCACCAGGTAACTTATGAAGAAAAACCTATCAGATTAACTGCAGGTTTCTCAGCAGAAACCTTACAAGTTAGACGGGATTGGGGCCCTATCTTCAGCCTTCTCAAACAAAACAATTACCAGCCAAGAATTTTGTATCCAGCAAAACTAAGCATCATATATGAAGGAAAGATAGTCTTTTCAAACAAACAAATGCTGAGAGAATTCACCATTACCAAGCCACCACTATAAGAACTGCTAAAAGGAGCTCTGAATCTTGAAACAAATCTTGGAAACACATCAAAACAGAACTTCTTTAAAGCATAAATCAATAGGACCTATAAAACAAAAATGCAAGTTAAAAAAAAACAAAAATAAATAAACAGAGAAACAAAAAAACACAAAGTACATGGGCAACAGAGAGCATGATGAATAAAATGGTACCTCACATTTCAATACTATCGTTGAATGTAAATGGCCTAAATGCTCCACTTAAAAGATACAGAACTGCATAGTCGATAATAACTCACCAACCAACGATCTTCTGCCTTTGGGAGACTCCCCTAACATATAAGGAGGCATATAAACTTAAAGGGGTGGAAAAAGGCCTTTCATGCAAATGGACACCAAAAGTGAACAGGGGTAGCTATTTTTATATTAGACAAAACAACCTTTAAAGCAACAGCAATTAAAAGAGATAAAGAGGGACATTATATAATGGTAAAAGGCCTTGTCCAACAGGAATATATCACAATCGTAAACATATATGCACCTAACACTGGAGCTCCCAAATTTATAAAACAATTACTAATAAACCTAATAAATGAGATGGACAGCAACAAATAATAGTGGGAGATTTCAATACTCCATTGACAGCACTAGACAGATCATCAAGACAGAACGTCAACAATGAAACAATGATTTAAACTATACCTTGGAACAAATGGACTTAACAGATCTATACAGAACATTTCATCCAACAACCACAGAATACACATTCAATTCAACAGCACGTGGAACATTCTCCAAGATAGACCATATGATAGGCCATAAAATGAGCCTCAATACGTTTAAGAAAATGGAAATTATATCAAGCACTCTCTCAAACCACAGTGGAATAAAACTGGAAATCAACTCCAAAAGGAACCTTCAAAACCATGCAAATACATGGAAATTAAATAACCTGCTCCTGGATGAGCATCGGGTCAAAAACGAAATCAATATAGAAATTAAAAAATTCTTCAAACTGAATGGCAACAATAACACAACCTATCAAAACCTCTGGGATACAGCAAAGGTGATGCTTAGTTGAAAATTCATAGCCCTAAACATCTACATCAAAAAGACTGAAAGAGCACAAACTGACATTCTAAGGTCAAAACTAAAGACACTAGAGAAACAGAAACAAAATAAATCCAAACCCAGCAGAAGAAAGGAAATAATCAAGATCAGAGCAGAACTAAATGAAATTGAAACAAAAATATACAAAAGATAAATAAGACAAAAGTTGGTTCTTTGAAAGATAAATAAAATTGAGAGACCATTAGCAAGATAAATATAGCAAGATAAACATAGATGCTAAAATCCTTAACAAAATACTAACTAACTGAATCCAACAACATATCAAAAAGATAATCCACCATGATCCAGTGGGTTTTATACCAGGGATGCAGGGATGGTTTAATACATGGAAATCAATAAGTGTGATACACCACATAAACAACGAAAAACAAAAAATCATGTGATCATCTCAATAGGTGCAGAAAAAGCATTCAACGTAATTCAGCATTTCTTTATAATTCTCATCAAAATCTGCTAAAAGGGACATACCTTAATGTAATAAAAGTCATCTATGACAAACCCACAGCCAATGTAATACTGAATGGGAAAAAGTTGAAAACATTCCCCCTGGGAAGTGGAACGAGACAAGGATGCTCACTCTCACCACTCCTCTTCGACATAGTACTGGAAGTCCTAGCCTCCCAGACAAGAGAAAAAAATAGAAGGCATCCAAATTAATAAAGAGGAAGCCAAACTGTCCTTTTTTGCTGATGATATGACTGTTTACCTTGAAAACCCTAAGGGCTCCTCCAGCAAGCTCCTAAAACTGATAAAATAATTCAGCAAAGTTTCTGGAGCAAGATTAATGTACACAAATCAGTAGCTCTTCTGTACACCAATGGAGAATCAGATCCAGAGCTCAACTCCTTTTACAATTCTGCAAAATAATAATAATAATAATAGTAATAATAATAATTAGGAATATACCTAACCAAGGAATCGAAGGACCTCTACAAGGAAAACTGCAAAACACTGCTCAAAGAAATCATAGACAACATGAACAAATGGAAACAGATCCCATGCCTATGGATGAGTGGAATCAACACTGTGAAAATGACCATACTGACAAAAGCAATCTACAAATTTAATGCAATTCCCATCAAAATAACACCATAATTTCTTACAGATTTAGAAAACACAATTCTAAAATTTATATTGAACCAAAAAAAGAGCCCACGTAGCCAAAGCAATACTAAGAAAAAAGAAAAAAGAATAAATCTGGAGACATCACACTACCTGATTTCAAACTATACTATAAGGCCATAGTCACCAAAACAGCACGGTACTGGTATAAAAATAGGCACATAGACCAATGAAACAGAATAGAGAACCCAGAAATAAACCCAAATACTTACAGCCAACTGATCTTTGATGAAACAAACGAAAACATAAAGTGGAGAAAGGACACCCTTTTCAACAAGTGGTGCTGGGATAACTACCTAGTAGCATGTAGGAGATTGAAACTGGATCCTCATCTCTCACCTTATACAAAAATCAACTCAAGATGGATTAAAGACTTAAATCTAAGATCTGACAGTATAAAAATTCTAGAAGATAACATAAGAAAACCAGTCTAGACATTGCCTTAGGCAAAGACTTAATGACCAAGAACCCAAAAGCAAGTGCAATTAAAACAAAGATAAATAGCTAGGACCTAATGAAACTAAAGAGGTTTTGCACAGCAAAAGAAACAGTCAGCAGAGTAAACAGAAAACCCAGAGTGGGGGAAAAACTTGACAATCTATGCATCTGAGAGAGGACTAATATCCAGAATCTACAAATTAACTTAAATCAGTAAGAAAAAAAGAAAAGAATCCCATCAGAAAGTGGTCTAAGGACATGGATAGACAATTCTCAAATGAAGATATAGAAATGGCCAACAAACACATGGAAAAATACTCAACATCACTAATGATCAGGGAAATGTAAATCAAAACCACAATGCAATGTCACCTTATTCCTGTAAGACTGGCCATGGTAAAAAAATCAATAAACAGTAGATGTTGGCGTGAGTGTGGTAAACAGGGAACACTGCTACACTGCTGGTGGGAATGTAAACTAGTACAGCCACTATGGAAAAGAGTGTGGAGGTTCCTTAAATAACTAAAAGTAGAACTACCATTTTATTCAGCAATTCTACCACTGGGTATCTACCCAGGGGAAAAGGAGTCATTATTCAAAAAAGATACTTGCACATGCATGTTTATAGCAGTACAATTCACAATTGCAAAATTGTGGAACCAACCCAAATACCCATTAATCAATGAGTGGATAAAGAAATTATGTTTTATATATGTGTGTGTATATATATGTATATACACATATATATACATATGTATATACACACACATATATATGTATGTATACACACACACACACACACACACACACA